GGGGTGAGCTCCCGTTGATCGGTCCCTGCTCCTGCCAACCTAGCAGTTTGAAAGCACATCAAAGTGCAAGTAGATAAATAGGTACCACTCCGGCGGGAAGGTAAACAGCGTTTCCGTGCACTGCTCTTGTTTCACCAGAAGCGACTTAGTCATGCTGGCCACATGACCCAGAAAAACTGTCTGCGGACAAACACCGGCTCCCTCGGCCAGTAAAGTGTGATGAGCGCCGCAACCCCAGAGTCGTTCGCGGCTGGACTTAACTGTCAGGGGTCCTTTACCTTTACCTTTACAGATGTGGGCAATCCTTTGTTCTGTTGATGGTTTTCATTTCCTCAGGGATAATCTATTGTGGGCACAGTGCAAAGTCCAAAGCATTGTGGAGGACAAAAAATGGTGACCAGGCTGCCAAGATGGCTATGCTATTGCACCTGCCAATGGTAAGTCTCCCGCCTCCAAGAAGCTCAGCAGTACAGAATGTCTCCTTGTATAAATTGGGTGGCAACTCTTTGCCCCACCCTGCCAACCCATAATTATCTCCTCGTAAATAGGGTGGAAAATTTCTAGTTTAAATGTTATATAGCTCAAGAATGTGCTGCAGCTGTCCACTCAGGAGATCCAGTGGTTGTTTATTTGAGATGGCATAACGCACTGATTGTGCTCAACGTGTCAGGAAGACAAATGAAGCACATATGTGAAATCTTTCACTTTCTGCTGTGTGCTCTTTATTCCTCAATAGATACTGTATACAGCTGAGCCTTAATGCCAGTTGGCTTCCTCCAGAAAGAGCTTCTTGGTGTGTACATCTCTACAGCTGATATTTGTTTCATATCCTGTGCTCGCTCTCGCTCTCTCTCTCTCTCTCTCTCTCTCTCTCTCACACACACACACACACACACACACTGTGGAGAAGAAGGGTGTTATGAATTGAAAACTGCACTCAAACTTATGCACGCTGCATACCCTGCTATACTAAAAATAAACCTCTTAACTCTTGCCAAAATCTTTGGCTTTACAAAGTGCTCAGAAATTGCCTTGTGTGGGTGCAGCTCTTTCTTCTGGTTTTGCAGCGGATGCAAACACGTGCGCTTGGAGAAACAGGTCTATTTACATTTACAAGCAAAGTCAATTAGTCCTGTAAAGAGCATTCCAATCTACAATAGCAAACGTGTAAAAAATAGGGGAAACACTGGGTGATCAACCAACCGATGAAGCAGAAATAGAACTCTATACATCAAGTGTAATCTGCAGCAGCTCCAAACAAAAGATTGCTGGTGAGAGACAATTTGCATGCTGCTCAGAGAAAATATACAGCTAAGCACACAGAGGTGAGATCCACTGGGGGAAATGTTCTTTAGCTTGAAACTGCTCTGTTTAATTATATTGTAATTGAAAGCAGTAAAACAAGAGCAAGTACCATAATACATATTATTAGTTGGGTAGGCAACGAGTAGCTTAGTCCTATGGCTAACGAGAGTGAAGTAGTTACCTCTCCTTTCCTCCTGGCTCTGGCAGCCTGATGCCACATTTAAGCTTTCTGCAGCATGTAGGAATATGCTGCACAGTCCCTCTGCTTCTCCTATAACACCACAGTGATTGACAGCCAAATATAACTCTGCCCAAATGCAACAGTTGCCATTAGGCTATACAGTGAGTGGTACCTTGGTTTATGAACAGTCCTGTTTACGAACTATACTCTACAAAACCGGAAGTAGTATTCTGGTTTGCAAACTTTACCTCAGTCTAAGAATGGCTTATTTAACTTATATGCAGAATTCATCATGCGAAAGGCTGGGCTGGATGAATCCCAAACCGGAATTAAGATTGCCGGAAGAAATATCAACAACCTCAGATATGCAGATGACACAACCTTGATGGCAGAAAGTGAGGAGGAATTAAAGAACCTTTTAATGAGGGTGAGAAAGGAGAGTGCAAAATATGGTCTGAAGCTCAACATCAAAAAAACGAAGATCATGGCCACTGGTCCCAACACCTCCTGGCAAATAGAAGGGGAAGAAATGGAGGCAGTGAGAGATTTTACTTTTTTGGGCTCCATGATCACTGCAGATGGTGACAGCAGTCACGAAATTAAAAGATGCCTGCTCCTTGGGAGAAAGGCGATGGAAAACCTAGACAGCATCTTAAAAAGCAGAGACATCACCTTGCCAACAAAGGTCCGTATAGTTAAAGCTATGGTTTTCCCAGTAGTGATGTATGGAAGTGAGAGCTGGACCATAAAGAAGGCTGATCGCCGAAGAATTGATGCTTTTGAATTCTGGTGCTGGAGGAGACTCTTGAGAGTCCCATGGACTGCAAGAAGATCAAACGCATCCATTCTTAAGGAAATCAGCCCTGAGTGCTCACTGGAAGGACAGATCGTGAAGCTGAGGCTCCAATACTTTGGCCACCTCATGAGAAGAGAAGACTCCCTGGAAAAGACCCTGATGTTGGGAAAGATGGTGGGCAAAAGAAGAAGGGGACGACAGAAGATGAGATGGTTGGACAGTGTTCTCGAAGCTACAAACATGAGTCTGACCAAACTGCGGGAGACAGTGGAAGACAGTGGAAGAGCCTGGCGTGCTCTGGTCCATGGGGTCACGAAGAGTCGGACACGACTAAACGACTAAACAACAAGAATGGAAGCCGAACGGTGGAAGGGCACCGGCGGCAGGAGGCCTCATTAGGGAAAGTGCGCCTCAGTTTAAGGACGGATTTGGTTTAAGAATGGACTTCAGGAATGGATTAAGTTCATAAACCGAGGTACCGCTGTACCTAGAATGGTTAAAGGTAGCGCTGTGGTCTAAACCACTGAGCCTTTTGGGCTTGCCATTCAGAAGGCTGGCGGTTCAAATCCGCGTGACGAGGTGAGCTCCCGTTGCTCTGTCCCAGCTCCTGCCAACCTAGCAGTTCAAAAACGTGCCAGTGCAAGTAGATAAATAGGTACTGCTGTGGCGGGAAGGTAAACGACGTTTGCGTACACTCTGGTTTCTGTCACGGTGTTCTGTTGTGCCATAAGCGGTTTAGTCATGCTGGCCACATGATCCCGAAATCTGTCTGTGGACAAATGCTGGCTCCGTCAGCCGGTGTTTATCCACAGACCCCATAGTTGCCTTTGACTGGATGGACTTAGCCGTCCAAGGGTCCTTTACCTTTACCTTTTACCTTACCTAGAATGGCTTACCTTTCCCTCTCAGAGACAAGACCTATGCTGTGCAATGACCACTGATCTGCATGTAATGTCAGCTAGAGAACAGACAGGAATTTCCCAGGAACAGGATAAGAACTCAGCTGTAACAACACAGACCACACTTTAGTCTATCTATGTGATAAGGTTGTAGAAACTGAAACTGCAGTCCTCAAACCCCATCTAGAGTAGTTCCACTAAATTTAGTGTGTGGCAAATAGAGTTATCACTCAATTTCACTTGAAGAATATTGTGAGTTAAATTTGGGGGTTCCCATTCAGGGAAAACAGAAGAATTTCAAGGGAAGCTTTCATTTTTATGATGGCCCTATTATTATTATTATTATTCTGTAGATCTCAGAGTTGTTCACTTGGCATGTCCCTATAAGGGTTACATCCCCCCTAACGTATATATAAAATTACTTATATATAATTAATCATCCAAATTAAATTCCCAGGAAATTTCAAAAGGTCCTGACACCATTAGATGTCACAAATAAATCCCATGCGAGTCAATAAGCCTCCAGGTCCTTCCAGATGGGAACTATTTTTGGAGTCAATGCTGTTCATGCACACAAGTTTTTCACAGGACGTTATCATAATCAAAATGCCAGCCCATCGTTTTTAAACATATAATGTTGTATGCAAAGATGCTGTCCTGTTAATGCAGGATCTTCCACCTGTGTAGCAGGACATTTTCTCCCTCTCCTTTCCCTAAGTATACCCCATCCAAAATCTGCCCTGGCAGTTTCCCCCAAACCTGCAGAGCATATCTGAGGGGAGCACACAGGAGGCATTCTGGAAGACAAGAGGGACAGGAAGACCTGTGGCACAGATGGAAGTCCATTTCCTAATGGTGTGGATTTGTTGGCTACAATCCTTAATCTGGATTCAACCTTACTGCAGATAATCGGAAAAACATAGCCCAATTGATTTTTACAGTCACCTGTGGTGTCAAAGTTTGTTAGCTTAGTTTCGGGGGTGGGCAGTTATTTGTGTGGTGACATTTTGATGGGGGGGGCCCTCTGTTGTCATGCTTCTACTTCCATATGTTTCTCAAGTGTGCACAATCTGGCCATTTTGTCTCCAGCGGGTCCCAACACCAAACAAAAGACCTTCTAATTCCTTATATAAAAATAAATAAATCCTTCTAACTGCCACATGCTGAATGCGCAGACAGTTGGGAGCGGTTGTTCTCTCAAATGTCCCCACAGTAACCGCAGCGGATTACCTCAGAGACTGCAACTGCAATATGTGCACTGGGCTATGAAAGAAATGTGGTGTGGAGGCCTTGTACAAGACTCCTTTACCTCTCTTTCACAAGTCTTATGCGAGTCAAGTAAATATTTCACTATTAAAAAGAAGATTAAAAAAGCAACAACAAATTCACATGGCTATCCCCCCTGCCCCCCCCCGCAAAATAGTAGCAAGCCTCCATTTTGTCCATTGTGAAACATGCTAGCATTGCTTTTGTGTGCTTGTGCCTAGGATTATGTTTTATAAAAGATGCGCATACTCAGATAAATGCATACTCAGTATGCATGCACAAAATAGGAAAAGGTAGTGGAATATGGGGGAGAAGTGACTGAGGGTAGAGATTTTTTTAAAAAGTCCACAGTGCAGATACATTCCTCCGTCCTCCATCCACTGATGTGGACAGCGAGCAGTGGAAGAACAGAGGAAGCCACATAGGCCACAGAAACACAGAAAAAACAGGGCCTTGTGACCTGTTTACAGCAAGACCCCCATCTGCAAGCAGACTTGCACAGCTTAGGTTGTTAGACTGTAGCTGTACACCTTTACTCAGAACGTCCTCTCCAGAGACAGCTCAGCCCAGCGGTTCCATTGACCAAAGCATTGCTAAGATCCCATAATGGCTTCCAGCGGTTTGAGACCCTCAGGCACTGCCTGGCTTTCTTTTTTAAAAAAGAAAAGAAAAGAAAGCATGTCCTTTCCACCCTGCAGCCCTGCCTGTAATGTCTATGCACTGAGCGTAGCCTATGCATGTGCAGTGATAGGGTGACATGTCAGGAACCCTGTGTTGAGTCCCTGGTTGCCTGGAGAGCCCAAGCATGTATACAGTGCTATACATTCCAGGCTCCCTTTAAAAGAGCACCGGGATGGTGGGTGTGGGGCCTGCAGGGGACATGGCAGCCACAGTTCTACTGCCTTTCAACATATTTAATGTACAAATAGAAGGAACCTTCTGATAAGGGCTTAAGATGAAGGGTGCAAATAGCCTACAATGCAGGGTGGAATGATACAGCCACCACTGCATTAAGATCCCATTTTGCTCACTGTCCTGAGATTCAGAACCCAGAAGAAGGAACTTCACTAAAAGGTGCTCATACACCAGGTCAAGCTGATGAACTGGATTTTTAGAGTCGCTAGCTAAAAAAGACTGGAAGGAAAGCCCTATAGTTTTGCAGAGTTATAGCTGCTCAATTCTCAGTGTGGGCCCTTTTGCGTAGCTAGATAGTAAAAGTAATGATGACCATTAGTGCATAATCCATGCCAAGTACGTAGGTGTCAACTGATATTCAGCAGGAAACCAGATAGCGGCCCCTTTTGCCGGAGGGGGGGGGGGAGGCAATAAAATGAAGTGATTAACATTATTGATTTTTAATTTGGGTTGCTTATTTTCATATCCTAAGCGATTTCCAATAATGTCATGCATCATAGAAAAAAGGAACTACAAGCAACGTATTGTTTCAGTGCTTGGAATACTGAGAGGAAAGCAATCTCATTATGTCTTTTAAGTATTTGTTTTAATGCTGGGTAATCACAACCAGCCAGTGTAATTGTCTCAAAGTTGCAGTAAAGAGTTGGAAAACACTAAAGCAGCCGATGACTAGTGTCAGGGAACTGCCATCGGAAGGAAGGGAGGTGAAAGGACTCAGACAGGTTGGAAGAGACTCAGCAGCTGAAGAGGGAACCAGCAAGGGGAGAGAAGCTGAACTGAGGGAGGTGAAAGGGCTCAGACAGGTTGGAAGAGACTCAGCAGCTGAAGAGGAAACCAGCAGGGGGAGAGAAGCTGAACTGAGGGAAAGGGAGCTGGGGGGATGGCTCAGAGATACTTCCAGCGAAAACAGTGGTGAGGTTTCCGGACCTCCTGTAGGGACACCCACTCCTCGCCGGAAACTGTCACGCAGAGAGTCCAGAAGACGTGTTTCCGTTAAGGAGCTTTTATGTTGGAAGCGATTACAAAGCAACCACTGTCGGAATCTTCTAGTGACTAGAGGAGCCATGTCAGAGGGCTCAGTCACAGACAGAGGTTTGTGGACTTGAACAAACTCTGAGGGAATACGATTTTACGCACAAGCAGCTCATCTTCCCATCACAGCATTCCGACAGTCTTTGAACGCAGCTTGTGCAGGAGAAGGCATAATGAGCAACCCAGCAGGAACCGGAGAAGCAGGGGCTGGAGCGGGTCCAAGCCTGGAAGAAAGGTACCGGGTGTTGGAGGTCCAGCTGGCGCTGCAGACGGCGAGGCTGGAGGAGAGGAGGGCTCAAGATGCAGACAAAGGGAGAAAGCCACCCAGCTCGCCAGAAAGGTACCAGGATTGGTGCAGAAATTTGGGGGGGAGCCCAAAGACTATCATAGCTTTCGGACAGAAATGCAATATGCCCTCAATCTGCAGTTTGATGATTTCCCTGATGAGGAATCACGAGTGGCTTTTGTGATTGGGCATCTTGAAAAGGGGCGAGAGACTGGGTTAGACCCCTGATGGCAGCGCATAGTGACGTCCTAAAGGACACGATGAAGTTCTTTCGCGCCATGGATCTGATGTTTTCCAGCGATATTGAAAAGGGAGTGGTGCGCAGACAGTTAATGGCTTGCAAACAGGGGAGCCGATCTGTACGTGAGTACTGGACTGAGTTCACCATGCTGATACACAGATTGGGGTGGGACTTATCGGCGGAACCCATTCAAATGCTCTTTGAAGAAGGGCTTTCTTCGGCTGTGAAAGATGAACTTTCCCGGGCGCCCAGGGCGGAGTCTATGGACCAGCTGACCAAATCAGCGCTGGCCATAGGAGGCGCGCCAGGAGGCGAGAGCATTGGAGGCGGGAAGGGAAGGGGAACGTTGGAAGGAGTTCCGCATTCCAGACATTCCAGAGCCAACTTTCCCGCCGGCAGAGCCGAAGGAAATCGGACCAGCCCGCGCGCCGCAGTTTCAAAGCCCAGTGAGGGGGAAAAAGGAGGGAAAAGGCGCCCGGAAATGCTATCTCTGCCAACAGCCAGGGCACTTTGCCAGAGTCTGCCCCCAGAGGAAGGAATGGCAAGGGATGGTGGGAGCTGTGGAGGGAAGAGAGGAAAAAATACCGGAGCAACTAAAAGCCAACGCCTGGCTGCCATTGTCGGGGCACAGCAGCCAGGCCAAAGAGCAGTGAAAGTGCCCACGCCAGAACCTCCTAAACCCGCCCTAGTGATAGAAGTGACACTAGAGCTGCCAAACGGACACCCTCTAAAGATAAAGGCGCTGTTGGACTCAGGCAGCTCCTGCAATTTCATGAGCAAAGAGTTTGCAGCTGAACACCAGATACAGACGCTCCCTTTAAGCAACCCCCTGCAGGTAACCACGATCGATGGCAGGGAGCTGTTGGGAGGAGAAGTCAGCTTGCAGACCGTCCCAATGATAATGAAGGTGGCAAGGCACACCGAACTAATAGCGTTTAATGTGGCCACCTTGGGAGGAGCTCCCATTATATTGGGGATGAGCTGGCTAGCGTTACATGATCCGCTGGTGGGCTGGCATCAAAGAGTGGTTTCTTTTGGGTCAGCACATTGCTTAGAACACTGCAAAGAGGGAAAGGTTTTGGCAGGGGCCCAAGCCACCCTAGCAGGGACTGAAGTAACGGAGAACGTGAAGGTACCACGACAATACGCAGATCTCCGCGACGTCTTCAGCGAAAGGGAAGCTGACCAACTACCACCGCATAGAGCCTTTGACTGTCAAATCAATTTGCTCCCTGGGGCACAGCTCCCTGTGGGCAAGCTGTACGCCATGTCAGACAGAGAGATGCAGGAGCTAAGAGAGTTCATTGACAAGAACCTGAAGAGAGGGTTCATCAGAGAGTCCAGGGCGGTGGGGGCAGCCCAGTGTTTTTGTGGACAAAAAAACACGAACAAGCCGAGACTGGTGTGTGACTTCAGGGCCTTAAATGCAGTGTCAGAACCAGTGGCCTTCCCGATGCCCAGGATTGACGACATTTTGACAAGGGTGCGGAAGGGAAAGATTTTCACCAAGCTGGATCTAAGGGGGGCGTACAACCTGATACGAATAAGGAAGGGGATGAATGGAAAACCACCATGTTCACCCCTTTAGGGGCATTTGAATACTTAGTTATGCCCTTCGGTCTACAAGCAGGCTCCGCAACATTTCAATCGTTTATGAACCACGTCCTGGGGCCGTTGCTTTACAAGAATTGTGTGGCCTTCTTAGACGACGTGTTGGTGTATTCTGAGAATGAGGAGCAGCATGTGAGAGACGTCAGAGAAGTGTTGAGCAGGCTGCAAGCCAACCAGCTGTGGGTGAAACTGGAGAAGTGTCAGTTTCATACCAAGGAGGTGGAATTCCTGGGGTATCGCCTGTCTGACAAGGGGTTGGCCATGGATCCCGGCAAGGTCCAGGCGGTACTGGAATGGAAAACACCCAAAACAAGGAAGGATGTGCAGAGGTTTTTAGGATTTGGGAACTTCTATCGTAAGTTCATCCCAAACTTTGCCCACCTGACGGCGCCCATTACGGACTGTCTCAGCAGTAAGAAGAAGTTCGTTTGGACGGAGGAGGCGGAGCAAGCATTTGAGGAACTAAAAGGGCCTTCGCCTCGGAACAACAGCTCCTGCATGTGGATTTACAAAAACCGATGAGAGTGGAAACTGACGCATCAGACAGAGCGGTTGGGGCGGTGCTTCTCCAGCCAGGGAAGGAGGAGTCAGAGTGGAGACCGTGTGCCTTTTTTTCGCGAAAGCTGAACACATCCGAGAGGAACTACACGGTGTATGACCGAGAACTACTAGCCATTCATGAGGCGTTCCGGAGATGGAGGCACCTGCTACTTGGCGCACAACATAAGGTGCAAGTGTGCACTGACCACAAGAACCTAGAGTATTGGAGGACGGCACGAGTGCTCAACCAACGGCAAGTGAGGTGGGCCCAGGAATTCTCCAAATTTAACTTTGAGATTTGTTACGTGCCAGGCCCAGAGAACATTAGGGCGGACGCTCTCTCACGCAAACCTGAATATTTGGAAGGGGAGGGAGCACCCGAAGAGAGACATGTCATTCCAGAGGACCGCTGGGTGTGTGGGGCGGCATTGGTGGGACAAAGAGAACTGGTAGAAGAAACAGAGAATGATGAATACGCCCAGAATAAGCTCAGAGGTCTTAGGGATGAGGGAGAGGAATCAAGGGGTTTCGAGGAAAGAAATGGAGCTTTGTATTACAAAGGGGCACTGTATATCCCTGAAGGAGACTTAAGGGGAGGGTACTCAAGCAGTTGCATGACAGCCCCACGGCGGGGCATTTTGGGCAACACAAAACCATGTGGTTGGTCACCAGGGAATTTTGGTGGCCTAAGGTGAGGGAGGATGTACGTGAGTATGTAAGAGGGTGCGAGCAGTGCCAGCGAGCCAAAGGGAAAGGCGGGCGCCGGCGGGGCTATTAGAACCCTTACCAACACCAGAACGACCTTGGGAGGCAGTGTCGATAGATTTTATGACTGATCTGCCGAAGTCCAAAGGGAAAACAGCCATCATGGTGGTGGTAGACCTACTAACAAAGATGTGCCACTTTGTAGCTTGCTCGCATGCAGTCACGGCGGAAGAGACAGCGAAGTTATTTGTAGAACACATTTTTAGGTTGCACGGGGTGCCATTGAGGGTGGTCTCAGACCGAGGAAAACAATTTACTTCCA